AACAGTTGCCACATTTGGGGACAGCTTGCCAACGACTTAATGGAAAAGTTCCCTCGTACAAAGGCCACCTGCATCGATATTCTGTTGAAAATTGCTGCAGAATGCACAAACCACAAATCAGTGTGAAAAGCATTGGGTTACACCCATCCCGTTGGGATTGGGGATCATGAAGAGTTTTACTAGATAAATGCTTCGAAGTGGTACTCGCTCACGAAACGCTATGAGGCAAAGTTGAAATAAAAAGCTCGACCATGGAAGTGTTGACCGCTGACAAAGGGCAATAAGACGGTCCATATCACACAAAGCCGGCTTAATTGGCTGTTTTGCTTTTTGAAAGTTTTGTTTCGTAGCTCGGAAGATGGATCCGAGAACCGGCCCGAAAGTAAATAGACTATTCATTCAAACAATTATCTCGTCGACTTTTACAACGAGCCACATTAATCAATCAAAATTACTGATAAGCCCTGCTGACACGACAAACTGACTGTCGATTAGGATCACATAATGTCACATTTCTTATAATGAACTTGATGACTTTACATGAAACTAATGCAAACTGCACATGGAGATAAATAAATGGGTCAACATGGAGTGGGGAGCTCACATTTTCCAAATTACACGGTCATTCTCCGTACATAATTCGTATCTGATGAGCGGTGTGTCAAATTTCACCCCATGCTGCGCTTGCGGCATCAAATTTCATGCAGTTATACCTAAGGCTATCAAGAAAAGATGCTACAAGACCCTTTGAAAACCTCTCACAAGCTACTGCAAATCAACCTGGACACCTAAGGAAGCCACGCCAGAATTGACAGACATGGAGAAAATAAGTGAAGACTAAAACAGCAATCTATGAGGCACACCGGATCGTCGCCGGAAGAGCACCTCACGTTCGCAAGCGCCGCGGAACCTTCAATCCCAAATCCTCACTACATCTAACTTGTCCACACTGTCAACGAACATACCATGCACGGAGCAACCTCATCGAACATCTCCGGACCCAATGCTATAGCATCACTACAAATCTACCGGCGGTCTCTGAAAGCGCCTGCGTCACCACTCCACCTTAACCCCCAGGACGACCACGATCACCATCTGTGCGCACATCCCCTCTGTCCCGCTACCCACCGCTCATTACTGCGACAGCCCACGCGGAGACAACTACCAGTTCTCCCGTCCCCTTCACAGGTGAAAACTTTCCCGACACCCCACTGTCACCATCACCGCTCCCAGCAACGGCGATGTAGACTCGGTCCCGGCCTGCCCTCCCTGCGATCATACCTTCACGTCGCGCATCGAACTCGTCGGTCACTTACGGATCAGCCGCACGGAGACTGGAGAACCAGTTCCTGGAGCACCGACATGCATCCACCTCAATTTTCCCCACTACCCAAGCACTTTCACCTACCGTGTGGGCTTAATCGGCCATATGCACATCCATGAAAACCTGTGGCAAAACACCGCCGGCCAAACCACATCACCACCCCTCTTCTAACCAACACATACACCACACAAGAACCTGTTTCACATCACCCAACATAGGCAGGGGTCCGCACTTCTCGCCTAATGGGACGCATGCTGTTTAGCTCACCCTTAATGTGGCCTCTGTGGCACTCTCACGCATGTGATTTCCGATCCGCCCATCCAGTTTGTGTAAAATCCCGGTGTGTTGTGTGGGGGGATCAGACGATAGTTCGACCATCGATTTCGATTATGTCCACCATGTACCCCACGGCAGTAGCGGTGGGAGCAGGACGGTGACTTGCGCAGGGATTTATAGTGCCGGTAGACTTGCGCTGCATCTACCTACACTCTCTCCTCTTCCCTCGCCCGAGTCCGGTGTCAAGACAGAGTCAAGAAGACGGGATACGACGGAGGCCGCAGGTGGATAGCTCGGACGGATCGTCATTTTGGCGTTCCACCACATCCCCTGGTCCACACAACAAATAACCAGGATTTCAGCCAATACAACAGAGATTGGAGGCTGGCACGGCCGAAGCCGCACATAGGCGTGCCGCCAACGCCTGGCTCGAGTTCCACACAGGGGGAGTGCCATAAAGGCCACATTAAGAAGGAGCCATTGCAGCCTGACTCTCAGACCGCCTCCGGTCAAGGAGGAGGTCCAAGTTATCCCATCAGTTGGCAACCTTCCAAGCCACGGCTTTTAGCGAACCGTGATAGCTTCAAGCGCGTCAGATTGTTTATAGTGAGGAGGAAGTGCGCTGAGTCGTCGACCTCACTCTACCTCCCCATTCCCACACCCCAGCCGCTGTCCGAGCCGGTCAGCGGACTGGAGTGGGAAATGGGCGCGGTGGCTGGCATGGTCGACTGACCATGCCTGCGCGCGACACGTGCACGACCGGGGGGTCCGGTAGCGTGTGTGGCAAGCGCAGACGGGTTCTTTTTAACTCTGCCAACCACTGCACCCCGTCTCAGCACCTGTTGGTTGGCCGGCTCAGTGCACGGGAAAGGGAACAGATAGTGAAGCCAACTGTGGGCGCATATTCCTCACTACAAACAATCTGGCGCATCTGAACCCATTACGGTGCGCTAAAAGTCGTGGCTTTAAATGCCGCCAAGAGGTGGGCTAACTCAGTCCTCCTCACAGAACAGAGTTAGGCAGCAGTGGTCCCTTCCTAATGAAATCCCTGTGGCACTCCCGTTCAGTTGGGATCCGAGTAGACCCCTTTGTTGTTTGTGTAAAATTCTGGTCCTTTATGTGTAGATCAGCGATAGGCCTATGCGCAGGCTCACGCCCCGCCAGCTACCTGCGCTCGATTTCGCCTTCAGTCTTCTTGAGTCTATCTTCACATCGGATCCAGAAGGGCGAGGGTAGAGGTAGTGCGACAGGTGCATCGCAAGTCCACTTTCACTACAAACTAATTCGAGCACAAGTCACAATCCCCGCGGCCACCATGCTCTAGGGCGCATGGTGGACAGAGTCGGTAACGACGGTCAAACTGTCAGTTACACACACGATGGGCTGTTGGAATTATTAGTATTTCTGAAATGTCGGGGTTTGTGGTACTTATGTTGGTCGATAGGTCTGTTCTGCTGAAGTTTACGCATATAGCACTTTTCTCAGCGTGTTTGGAGGCGAAACGCCAAACTATATAATTAGTTACCCGCTCGAGTTAAACGTCGAGTCTAATCCAGTATTTTTGAAGTACGCCCATGTTAGACAAGCCCTATTTTAACAAAGGGAGGGAGGTCTAGAAGTCAGAAACCACTAGGCCCAGAAACCTTATAGAATTTGTCGATGGCAATCGTCTATCATTCCTGTCCGAAACTGCAATTTTGGTGGTTCTTCTACCTACTCTTTGATGCTATGAGGTCAGACTTCAGGAGGATCCTACATTCTTGAGACTAAAGTGGCGGAAACGGGTTAAGGCATGCACGACTGATGACCACTTTGTAGAATTACCACATCGTTAACCTGTCCGTTCAGAATAGGCTGTTTTTGGCTACCAAAAAAGCGTCAAACCAGGAATGCCACCTAAACTGTCCGATTATTGATTTAAAGGTGGGCAGAGAGTGGAAACTCTATCCAGAAGTGCGTCCCTCGCAAGTGGCAAGGACTGAACTGCCTTCGGACATAGCTATTACTTGCCCGTGACACAGAATTGCACGACATACACCTCCCCCTTTCTACGACTATCATGCCCTACTAACAAGATGAGTCCAAGTCGTGTGGAGATGGACGCAGGCGCAATAACTGAATCCACGCTTACGCGACATTTCGACCGTCGTCCGCCAATGACGCAGTGGATGGACCCACCAATGCCGAAACAGACTTGTGCCGCATATGGCTTGCCCTCTCCTCCCACGCCGTCCACCGTCTTCGGATGGCGGGACAAAGTCAACACCGCCAAAGGTGGGCGAGGAGGCAGCTGTTGATGAGGCTAAACGGCCCGTCTATGCGCGTCGCACACGAGTTGGCGACATGCGACGAGCTATGCCAGACAACGTACTTCTCAGATAAGTGATGGGCGCATTTTCGTGTACAGCATTTCATCACCAATCCTACGGTGGCAAACTGAGCCGTGTGCATGTTTTATGCGTGATGTTTCTGTAGGTATTTGCCATGCATACATGTGTGACCGAGCAGGTCCGTTTGTAGTCCCAGCGTGTTTGCGTACCCAGGCAGGACTAAGTATTGTGAGGAAGTCTAGACTGTTTTACTGACCATGCGATGGCCGAATGTCATGGGACAGTGTGGGAGGGTGAGACGTGGAGATGGATACGCAGGCGGCCAATCAGGACGATGCGTGACCCAAGCTTCTATCTTCATGCCCATAAACCAGTCGGCAAAAGGAATCCCGGATGCCTCATTGGGGATAGCTGGCTTAAATCCCACATTAAAAGGGACATCACGGCTCGACCTTGTGTCCTGAAGAGACCCAAGTCATCCCGACAGTTGACAACCTAAAACAGGACTGTTAGCACATCGTCCTAGTTCAACGTGCCTAAGACTTGCTATAGTGAGAAAGTAAGCACCGGGCCGGAGTTGGATCGCCCTTCCCTTCCTTTCCGGTCTGACTTAGGATAACTGACAGTGAGACTGGGGGTATTGACCGCGGCACACACGCGCGGTCCCTGTCCAGGCCTAGTACAACAGCGCAGCCCGTTTCATGGACATGGGGTCAGTACCACCCACTCCCATAAGGACCAAAGTACGTAGCCCGGACATGTGCGCAAAATTTAAAGTCGAACGTCGTCGAAATGTAGCCAGTGGAGGTTACGCGGACTGTCACAGTTTGTGGTACCGCCTTAGCAGTGGGTAGGGAAGGCGCGGACTTTCAACAGCAAAGAGAAAACAGTGGTAAGTCTGGACGCATATCTCTTTTCGTCCTGACCCTTCATGAAATTGTTGTGAAGAAAATCAGATGAGTATGTTATATACAGGAGGCAGGGGACACATTGGGGGGACAAGAGGGCTCGAGGGACAGCTGTGGAAGTCAGAAAGGCGTGCAGAAAAACAGAAGTCCACATCGCAGTGCCTACTTCTCAATAAGAGTACCACGAATACGCCGTTTTGCCGCTTGCTCGTTTGCCTGTTGGATGAGAGGAGAGAAAGAAACCAGTATTAAAAGACATGCACAACTGAGGCGGCAGGGTTTGGTAAAGCCGGGGCATTACGATACCCTTACTGTGGAACTTGGTATTAATAACGAAACCCAGATGAATGACATTAGAACAAGCTGTAATTCAAACCTAAACTGGCTGTACATAGCATGCACAGCTACTTTCGTATACAAACTAAAATGAAAAGGCAGATCTTCCCAACTGGGAAGTGCGGAAACAGGCATTCTTACAGGTAAAATGTGCACAAAATCTGGTCGGAAAGGCTCCAGATTTGAGCCATAGGCACGAACCCGACGCACAAAGTGATATTCAGATTTCTTGTTGATGCCCTCTAGGGGCATTCCCTATCGGTAGGAGTAAAGGCGGTCCAGATAATTGGTTCTGCCCAGGTCAGATTTTTGTGACCCTCAGTAACAGGGAAGTGGTATTTTAACAAATGTGGGGGCGGGGCTTTGGTTAATACTGCTAGCTTATACGGCAGTCATATTTCAGTCCTAGGTTAGGAAGACCTGAGTCTGAACCTCGGCCAGTGGCTTTGAGGGTTATCAAAATGGAGCAGACGTGCTTGCCCTTACAACCTTACCAGTTAACTCATGTTTAACTCCACGCGTGAAAAGTCAATCGAGACAGCTGCACCTCCGATCATTATTTCGTACAGGCAGAAGAAGCGCCCAGTCTAAAGTGGGAACTTGATAAGGAATGGTTGAAGAAGATGTAATAGTTCCCTTGCCAGACTGGTCGTTAGATATGACAGTTGCATTGAAACAGGCGATAGCTACAAAACGATATCCTGCGGAAGATACCCCAAAAGAAGGATTTTCTGGCTATCCGGGGCGCCCGCCGACGGTGGATGGTGCAGTCGCCTTTGCGAAGGTATGCTGCGAACTATGCAGGCTCTTCAGTCTGACAGAAAAGCAGTAGAGCAGCAACGGAATGGGAGGTTGAAGTCTGGCACATCCAATATTTTATAACAGCTGCCGCAAAGGTCGATGATGGTCCCGTGAAATGGCGACCGTGAACTCTTTAAAAACCTTGCTTACAGCCGCAGCCAAAGCGACAGAGGAGACCATCTCCCATGGTATAGGGTGCTGGAAATGAGCGGACTTTCCTCGACCCTAGTTCCTAAATTCCGACGGTGCGCCGTCGTTATTAGCAAAACTAGGCTGTCTGCCGCAGGTCTGCAGTACGAATATCTGACTCGGGCTCTCTGAACTGAAGATCCAGGGGGCTAACTCCCACTTCACCCTACCATAATGGTCTACGCGGCCCATGTAGTAGACACGGTGCGCAATGCTTGCAAGGGGGCCAGACGATAACTAGTTGGCATGGGTACGGACGACGGGCATACTTTACCAACATCTTCGCCACTTATGTCTACACGCCAACACCAACTGCCAATAACCGCCATAAAGTAACCATCGTCATGATTTATCGGTCCTTGTTGGGGACTGAGTCAAGCAAGCCGTTAAATAATCACTTAATTGTCCGCTTCGGGTTTGGTTCTCGGTGTGACACTTGCAGAATTCTGCAGCCCAGAACCAGCTAATTGTCACCAAGACGTCCTCCCATCATCTGCATAAACATCTGCTGGCCTGGTACTCAAAAGACAGTCGTACGGTCAGCCAGACTGATTAAATTCAAAGCAATTCGAAGTTGCGTAGTTGGATTCAAGGTAACAGACCAATACCAGATGCAGAAACCAACAAGGCCAACGGGGCAGACTATGTTCTTGTTTGCAGATGCCTGAAAGTTCACTTCTCATCTAGATACAAAATGTCTCGTGTAAGATGTCGTCGCTAAATCACGACAACCGGTTACCGTCGTTGTTCTAAGCGCAGAACTCTGGTTTCGGCTTTAAGTCTGTGTGGGTGACGAATGGCCATAATCGAGGTCCTCAGCCCTTAAGGTGGATGACTGAATTATCGGATTCTCTCAATTGCGCGGCAATGATTGGGTCACCTCAAGGACCTCAAGCCTAGACAGCTTGAGCTACGTCCCACGGAGATAATTTCATACGCCAATTCCAGAAAACGACGACAAAGTCAACAAGAGATGTCCGTAAAGATCATTCAGCTGAAGCGGCAACCTCCACTGAGTAGGCAAAAAGCGGACACTCAATAACGCAACCAAATTATTCACTAGATTAGTGGTAGGCCCTCTGCACTGCTTGAGATATGCATTCCGATTCTACTGCCGGCAACACGGTCAAGTCGTGCGCCGATGCAAACACTTCGAGCACCTTCCGTAACTCTTAGGACCAACCCATTAGCTACCCATCGCTTCCGCAGCGGCTTCTTGCCCTCCACAAAGGTTACATAGTATGGCGCCAAGGGAGGACGTTATCCTCGCTGACGTCTGTAGGTCTTGTGCCAACACTAGCACTACGGCTTCACGAAATGACTGAGCAAACGTGGGGAGATGAGGTAAGTCCTGATAACTTGTGCTCGGTCATACTTTCGCTTGGTTTCAAGAAGAGAGATAAGAGTAAGTGAGAAAACTACCGCCAGATAAGTCTGATTATGCAAATGTTTCCGTCACAATCATTCCCGGACGATTTCAGAATGTGCGTGACTAGAGGACAAGACTAAATCAAGTTGGGCTCCTAGCTGGACGTCAGAGCACCAGTTAGATATTCAAACTGCCAGCATTCTTAAATTTCGTCATATCTACCACCAACGGACAACTGCCTGCTTTACTAGCGTTGCAGAAGCGCCCGATCTTGCTTATCGCGATACACTGTGGTGAATAAAAAAAGTTAGTTCTTGAGCTGCCTTTTCTGACTAGGAAGGGGCACCACTGTTAAGATGGGGAAAATCGTAGATATTTCGGGACGACGTTACTGTTACAAGAGTGAAGTCTCTGTGATCGCAAACAGCAGCGTATCGGGTATCCGTCAAGTTAGCCCTTCCGTGAGTTTGCGTACCGTGCGGTGATTCCATCTTCACTTCGACCTGCTATACTACGCGAATTCCACGCGGCTTCCCCTGGTACCAGCCGAATGAATACGACTGCTAGCAGTTTTAGCCACTGTAGAGGTATTGACAGAGACACCGACGACCTGGTTCGACGCTGTTTCCGATGTCAACAAGTTGCCAAGATAACGCCTCATCAACTGCCAGTATCCTGGCAACCACTGGAGAGGCCTTGTTTACGAGTGTACATCGATTTCGCTGGTCCACTTAACGGAGTCTCATACCTAATCTTGGTCGACGCCTACTCGAAGTGACCCGAGATTGCTCCGCTAAATACGGCGACCACACCTGCCACTGTCGCTTCCCTACGACGCACCCTTGGCCGGCATGGTTTTCCGGAAGTCATAGTTTCGGACAATGACGTTCAGTTTACTTCATCGACGTTTTAAGATTTCTGCCGCCAACACAACATCCTGAATCTTCGCTTCCCGCCCTACCAATCTCAGTTTAACGGTCGTGTGGAGAGTTTTTTCGGCACATTCAAGAGCTCTCTTGAAAGCTTGTGGGGAGAGGACCCCCGACGAGATAGTCCAGGCATTCCTGTTTTCTTACACAACAACTCCGAACCCGGCGTCCCCTCGTTGGCGTTTCCTCTGTCGAAGTTTGGATTGGCTGAAAATTACATGCAAATTTTTATGTACTCGTTCCTATCGGTGTGGAGTCCGCGCAGACAAATTCGCCTACATCTCGAAGCAGGCTCCCCCTCGAAACATCTGTCTTCTCCCGAGATTATAGAACTGATTTTCCAGACCGGACTGAGACGACCGTAGCAGCGCGCAGAGGCAGTATGTTATTTGACGTCCACGTTGGTGATGACATCTGGGTTCGGCACCACAACCGGATAAGGCGACGGCATTTCAGTAACGCAACCGAGCCCGAATAAGTGCCGTGACTCCCGCTCGAAATCTTACTGGATACTTTCGCCATTCCGAAAGACCAGCCCCTTCAGCAGTATCGTTTTCGGTTTCAGTTGTTAGCTCCGCATCCGTAGACCGCAAACTGCTCCCAAGACGTCGGACAAGCCGTGTGCGAAGAACAACGCGACCGATACAGGTCAATCCACGCCAGATGTGGTACTGAGCCACTTGAAGGGGAGGTGTTGAGAATGTCTACATTCCCACGAAGATTCAATCTCAAATAAAAGCACGTGTACGCGTCTCCCACGCTGCATGCCATGAGCATGTGTTCGACAGCGTCCTGTCTTTGGTTGTGACTACAGCGGCCCGACAGATGTGACCGGTCCGTGTCTGCGAGAAACTGCCCAGCTCTTCTAAGACTTTCTTTGAGGTGAATTAGACAGATTATTGGCCAATCTGAATAAGATGCATAGAGACAAGCAGATTTTCAGTGATAAGGACTTGCAGGTGTCTGATATATTCTTCATGGCCGATCGTGCTCCTTTCCGCTGCCATGTTAGTGTTGGGGACAATAGTCGAGTGCGCATACGTTTCGCACGATTTCTGAGTATCAGGCCGGGTTATAACAGTTTTCCCCTGACCACCCACTCAATCCTGAACAGGAAGGCGGCACCAGTTCGGTTGCTAAGCAGAGTGCTGCAACACCTGTTAATGCCCGCATAGATGACCACGTCCACACGCACTAACTGAAAACTTTGATAAAACAACAATAGCAGCAACAACTCCCTCATCCATACTACCTTCACAACAGAGACGCCTAAAGTTTATATCATCCAAACTTTCACAGCAGATTTACCGACACCTTGGTTCCTCTATTTGTTTTTCGGGAGGACGTCCTGGTAATTTATTGCTCTGAACATCTTATATGTCAGTAACTCCTGTCCTATTTCTCGTTTTACTTTTGACACGCACTACTAGAATGGATAACGCCCTATCCAAAGGTACCCCTTCATTTTGATTCCTATCTCCAATTTTGTTCATACTGTCGTACTCGCGTGCGTGTGGCCGTTTCTATTACAAAAGTTCGGCTTTGCTCTCTCTACGAAAGTAAATATGTCGAATTCGGCAAACATATACCCCCGGTTATTCACCGTCAGGGCTGTACAATAGTATGAGAGCAGAGTAGCAACAGTCTCAAGCAAAGATGCACGAGGCGAGTTTTGAAGTTCTTCGATCCTGGTCCACCCATCGTGAACGAGGGTTAGGTAGGTGGCTAGTTCCACGGCGTTCACTAGCACCAATCACCAATGCTAGTTTTCACACGATTCCCAGTCTTATTGATAATTACAACATCCGCATTCTTTAAAAGAAGGAACGTCAAAGTTGACAGCAGAGAAAACTACAAGTTAGCAAAAAATGAATTCGTACCTCGTCAACAAGCCGTCGCTTAATGATACCCCTGCGTATCATCTGAGCTTCAATGACACGGGCATTGGCGGCGTAGGAGTCAGCAATCTCCTTGGCTTCGGCTTCCTCCTCCTCGTCCTCGATGGTCGAAACTGTGACGGCAGTGTCCACACCCTGCGTGGTTTCCTGCTGTTGTACGCTACGACGCATCTTGGGAGCCGGTACACCCTCAGCTTGCAAAGCGGCTGCTTGAGAGGCAAGTGCGGTAAGCAGCTTTACATTTGCCTCGCCCGCATCTGTACCATCCATTTTGACTGACCGTGTAGCTAGCGCAGAAGGCGTGAGCCCAATATTGCCCACCTGTAGGTGTAGGGCGCCGTTAACTATGAAGTCCGCCTTCAAACAGGGAGCGCAACAAATATTTTAGCAAGAGAGATGGACACCAATTAGTACCTTTATGAACCACTAAGTTAAACCTCAAGCTGTCCCGGAGAAAAAGAGCTTAATGATTTGGCTGTGTACAAGAGGATTCAGCGCAGTTATGGATGTAGAATAGAAATAGTGGAAACTGAGAATTTAAGCATACTAGAGCCCGGCTAGTAGGGTCACTAGCTACTTGATTTAGCTACTTATTCAGAGTAAACGTTTAATAACAGAACACGCTTTTGGAGGGTAACCGCTACGCCTTATTAGGTTGGCGATCATTCTAGACCGGAACTCAGATGGGCAAGGCCGAGTGCATAGTCTACATTTGTGACAGATGCGGAGATTATGTGCTAGCTGGAAATTCACTTTGGCGGTCGGTATATGACTGCAGTCCGCGCCGTAGTGCACGGGTTTAGCAGGAAAGATAAACAAACTGTCAATGATAGTGGGGACGCATCATCCGGCGGGAGAACTTTGCAGTTAAAGGTAGTTTAAGCAGAGGCTAATTGTACGGCAGTCGGCGCCCATGAAAGGAGCGCGAGAGTCGCAGTTTCGGCACCTATCAATGAGTTGAAGTTCGCTGATTTAACAAAGCACACGCCGGTCTGGTCAAGTATTTAAGCCACTTGTTAGAATACACCAAACATGTCCGAGAAAAATCAACCGCTAGCTGCCAAAATTGTCATATGAATTAAGCAAGAAACAAGTGGTCCAAAATTAGTCACTATTAGTTGGTAGAAAAAACGGGGGTGTCAAAGCAGACAATCGCACATGTGATTCGACAGTATGACAACTTGGAGGATACAGTGTTATTGTCAAAACGAAGACAGCGGATATTTGAAAACAAGTGAGGAACAGGAAGGATACAGAGTTATGAGGCCTATATTTAATGGTTCCACAGTGTAACTTCAGATAAGTTTTGGTACTATACGGATCGATTAAGTAAAGTCAACTTCTGAGGAAAGAGGAATTCCAGGGAGAAAACTACAATGGCGCATATATATACGCATGCATATATCGAAACTCTATATCTGGACATCAAGTGTGCGAGAAATGACTGCAGTCAGTAAGGTACTGCGAAAAATTTTGAGATCGACCACTCACAACAAAGCGAAGTGACATGCACTTCGTGAAGGGGTGACGAACCACACCTGATATCAAAAACGGGACGAAATTCCGTTCACGACAGTTGAAAAGGCTCAGATGGTACTTACGACGTGACCCTTGACGCTGTGTCTGTAGAACAATAAGAGTCCGCAGCTCTTGCAGTACCTCCGATATTGCCGTTCAATCCCGTCCTCCCACCTTACATAGACGCAGCTGGACGGACTTGCATCGGTGGCATTTATTTTATGAGCTCTCTTGGACACGTCGAGAACGCGGGAAAGATCACGAGGGCGTTCGGGCAGTTTCTCAAGAGGACAGTCAAGTATGAGTGACATCTGTCCACAAATGCAACAATATATAAAAAGGGGCTTCTCGCTTCCATAGTTGTGACGATCTTTGTTGTCGGTTACAATGTGAGTGACTCGTTTTCTAACCCTCGGTTTTGATTCTTTATTCATCCCGGATGAACACTCGTAAGACCAAACAAAGTGCTCGGAGCCTGAAAACCAAATTATGCGCAATTACTAATCAGAGTTACTGAGTTGTCAGGACAGGTCGGGGTTTACAGATTGCAGGTGGTATTCCTATCCTCCATTCTGCCCCCACAACAAAGACCTGCGATTAGATCAGATCAAATCCAACCTATGAAATTATAATGCTCATCATCTTCGTGTATAGGCTTTTCACTACTTTTTCTTACTCAACTTCATCAAGCAATAAGTTGTTCTCTTCACCAAAGTTAATTAGACATATAAAATGTTGCGTGAATGAATTTCGTTGAATGCGGTGGATCAGAGTAGTTCACAGGATAAGCATATTCACAGTTAACCCAATTCGGAGCATGAACTCGGCGAATGACTATGTGGTAAGGCCAGTCAATCGCCCTCATGCAAGTCTAATCACGAAAATGATAGTACAGTAGTAACAAACTAGCGACCTAACGGACCCACTAATATTTTAGTCGAATGTTGCTTTTGCAGATAGTCTGTGGCCGCCGTGGTACGAGGACTAATCCACTCCGATGAACTGCCTCTTCGATAAGTGACATCGATTTTCCTATTTTTCTATTCCGACATTAATATTTGCCTCTGTACATCGCACTCAGCAGCTTTACTTCCACCCGTCTACTACACATGTTTCTACACCAGGAGCTTATTTGTAAAGCCCAAACAGTTTCTCCGAGTAGTTTAGGCGTTTCCACTATCTAAACCTGCATTTATACGTTTCCGGATTGTCCGCGACCAAGGTTGCTCATTAAGAACGGAGAATTCCTTTGAGTTTGATAGTATAAACCAGTAACGTGGTCATGCCTACAAATTCAAGAGTGGGCGGACGCAGTTAGACCGTAGAGAGTTTTCATTCAGCCAGCGGGTTTTCCGACCGTGGAACTCGCTTTCAAGCGAGATGGTGACAGCTGACACAACCTGCATGCTTAAAAGAACACTTGCTCGCTCAAATTTCGACAGAAGCCGACTTTTACAGCAGGACTGCTCACAGCCAGCTAGGTAAAACACTGTCATACACAAACCTCCCACACTGACATGCAGTGAACAGATGCGCCTCCTTATCATTACGATCGTACACTGAACCGACCACATTGTAAATGCCTGCAACTTTATTTTGAGTGCGAATCTGCGAAAGCACTGTACAGAAATAGGGTCATCAAGGGCTCTGCCTCTAATTCTCCAAATATGTACACGCATAAACAGAATGCCCTGTTGTCCCTACCTCCCGACTACTGATTATTTCGTGGTTTCTTGCCTTGAATGTCTGCCTTGGTCTGTCCGGAGAGATGAATTCATTAGAAACGAGACGCTGACTACTAAATCTGACAGTAAAAAAACGGAGATTATGCACTAATCCAGTGATTCCTTATCTACATAATTCTCGAATCCGCTGGACGTTGCATAGCATACCTAAAGATGCCCATGTAATTCGAAGTAAGTGTTGGCTTATTCCTTTGTTAAAATGTTTAAGCGGCCCTCCTGCTCAAATCTGCTTAGATACAAATTTAAATTAAACTTTGCAGTTTTGTTTGTCGGAGACCCCAGAAGGATGGAACAAACTGTAAGAATTTTAGGTGGTAAGGGCGTCTTGTCGCTCCGCGTTCTCCTGAATCGCTTCAATTTTCACCCGACCCCAAGTTACCGAAAGCCCATAGAAGATTCTTTCCCCTGACGTCGATAGCCTAAAATTGTTCATTTCAGCCTACTTGAGCCAGATGCTAAACTTTTTTCTAACGCATGAAGCCCTGTCAGTGGTCATGCAACCTGAATATAACTGAATTACCTATCTGCACGATGGTTGTATACCACCTATGAATAATGCATAGAAATAGAAATAGTTTCTGACAGTATTGTTGTGGCAGTCGGTTGCAAGGAAGTAAGCCCGATATTAGCATGTCCGAAATTGAGTTAGCGCGCTAGTACACCAGAAGGGGGAAAATATGAGAACCGTATGGTTGAGAGAGCTGAAGAACGTTCTCAAAAGTCTCCCGGTATTATTCACCGACACATCACAAGTCATGGGTATACGTGTAGCTTTAACTGAGAACACGTCTCCAGATAAGGAATACAGTAACCACGTGAGAATAAGTACGTTGACATCTACTTTGCATTGATCCAACAGGCCTGCAAGAGTAGATTCTGTGCGTGCTTATTCCCTCCGTTAACTTCGTACGTGGTCGAAAATCATATCATAATATGGATATGGAGTTCTCAAGAATCGCGCAATCCTTGCCGATATACAGGAAAATTGTGATATCAATATTATACATTTGGGGAAGAGGATTTCGCGCAATCTTCGAAATCATTCAAGACTGAAGTGGCAATAAGTTGGGTACGGAGAGCAGATATAGGCATCCTGAATTATATGCTGATTCCAGTGAATCATGTTGTTTCGGAATGTCCTTGAATTTGTCATCAGAACCAGATCGTGGGCACGAATTTAACCTTATTCATTCTCCAAGTGAGACAGGATAGGTGGAGGTTCATTATTCTCGAGCATGGTAACGATAACATGAATTTTGCGCCCTGTAACTTCTTGATCTTCCCGTCAGTGAAAGGCCGAAAGGGAAACTTTTCCAGTTACATGTCCATTTGTGGACCCGAGAATTGAACGAACGAATTCTTCACTAAAGACGTGCATTCGAATCCCGCCAGATGAACGCGTCTGTTTCGGTTCTACAACCTTCCACTGCGTAACCCCGTTATTTAACGCTACGGTTGGTGTGTAAACAGTTACATTCACTTTTCCCTCAGTAAAATAAGCCCGGATGAAAAGAGGGTGCGTGGACGCCTTTACCATCTGTGCAATCATTTAGGTGGGGAGACTTACTAGGACCAAATATAAATTATCGGACGCGAAAGCACAGGTTCGTTAAAATGAAAGTGTCTAGTACACAATAATAATAATAATAATAATAATAATAATAATTTATTTAATGCCAGTTTACAGGCATTGTCAAGGGAAGCGATTAAACACAAATCCGACCAGCAGTGAAAAAAACTCCTGAGGTAAAGAAATAAAAATATAGTTGATGGTGGTTTTCATGGTTTGGAGGGTTCAGGCGAAAAAACTGCTGGTGGTAGATTTTCGACCGTCAAGAAGGGGGGGGAGGTTGCACGGCATCGGAGATTATCGGACGTCAAAGTCCTTTCATGAAGTTGGGGATAGTCAAAGTAGAGGCGTTGAGGAACAGCTGGTGAGACCGGCCATAGTGTTCAGAGACCACAAACGCCATCGCTACGGTACAGTCGATCAGTAGATTCAGCAGCCAAAATTTGTGGGAGCTTTTCTGAATGCAAAAATCGAGTAATAGTTCTCTTAAACAAAGCATAATTTTGCAGAGTTTTCACATTCATGGGTAGTATATTCCAAATAGCAATGGCATTTACAGAATACAACCGACGATATTTAACAGTACGTGCCAGAGGCAGAAATAAGAAGACCTCACGGTGACTGTTACGTCGTGGGTGGATATGATTTCTTAAAGAGTCGACTGGGTTAAATTTGTGATTACATAAGAGTTTAAATAGCAAAAATAGTCCCTTTTGTAATCCACGGAACTACAAAAGATCAAGGCCCGTAAGCCGGCAACGTTCTTGGTAAGACAAATGTCGGTGTTCCGGGGTTAAAATTCTCTTGGTAAAAAAGTGTTGAACGGATTCTATTTTCTTCCGCTCAGTAGCACGCATGAGGCTAAATGAAAACGAACAGTATTCCAGACCAGGTCTAACGTACATGTTGAAAAGGCGCATTCTGATGTCCCTAGTTTTAAAATTTCGGTGGATAAACCCGGTCGTTCTACGTGCTTTGGAGACTATCAAGGCACAGTGCTCCGAGAGATTGAGACTCTTGGAGTATGATGCGCGCAGATCCTTAATAGCCCCAGGCATATTTATGGCGTGACCTTCAATGCTTAGTTGAGGTTGGTGGTCGTCGCCAACCACCATGACTGAGCACTTATGCCAAGAAAGAGAAAGGCGCCATGAGCGGCACACTTGGGAAAAAGCCTGTAGATCGCTCTTAAGGAGCTCAAGCCCGATGTCATGATCTGCCGACTTATATCGATATGCAACTTTAAGATCATCGGCATACATGAAAGGCTTACCATTCTGAAATAAGTCGCGTACATCATTATCGAAAAGGCAAAACAGAAGTGGGCCGAGTACACTACCCTGAATGACTCCAGTCCTCACACGTGTGGGGTTGGAGATAGTATTGGAAATCTTAACTCGTTGTGTACGAGTGCCCAGGTAAGAGGTTATAAAATTCAAAAGTTTGTCACCTATTCCGAAAGAGGATAGTTTCAAGAGAAGAAGAGCATGGTCAACACGATCAAAAGGCTTGGTGAAATCGAAATATACTGTGTAAGGTGCAAAACCATTGTCCTTATATTGGAGAACATAGTCAAAGAAAGAGAGCTGACAGGTGTCACAAGATCGAGCTTTGAGGAATCCATGTTAAACAGCACTCAGTAAGTTATTCACTGTTAACTGACACATCGCAACAGTTACATCCCACAGAGTGAAAGTTATAGTTTCTAGAACTGCCCCGGTCAATGACTCGATGGTTGGAAGTGGAGTGGTCGAGTCTTCAATAAACGTTTTGGACAGGAAATCATTAAAGTTATCAGCGGTTAACTGGGCATCAACTATGGGATTTCCGAGAGCGTCTCGGAGGATGGGTTGCTGCGTCTTTCGGTGAGTTCGTATTTTTCTAGAGAAAAGTTTCGAGACATTTAACGAATGGTTTTCGGTAAACTGGACCTTTTCGGCTAGCTATTTTTCTTCTGACAATCTCTTAGCTCGATCAAAAATATCACAAATCAAGGGCAGAAAAGAAACTTCGTTCTGAAGATGGAAACGATGATAAAGTCTGCGAAATCTCTGGCGAAAGGGTAAGGGTAGGAAATCGTCATCCCCAACATTAATAATTTTTTTACGTGGGACAAAACGAGAAATCAGCGGATCCAAAATTTCGTACAGATTTACAGTGCAAACATTTACATCCGAACTAAGGAAGAAATCAGTCCAGTCGTAGGAATTAAGGGTGTTAATAATTCGGTTGAGCGAGTTGATTGGGAATCGCGGAAAAAGTTATACTTTGGGAAAGACGTTTTGTCAGCCTAGAATTCCAACGTTGAAACAACTATGTCATGGTCTGAGCTCCCGAGTGGGCCTAGGGATGACACTGACGATGGCACGCAGCCTCTACAGAAAATTAGGTCAAGTATGCTTGAGCCTCGGGTGGGAAAATCGACAACCTGAGTCCAGATCCCAACATCCACAGCCTCAAGAAAGTCTTCGAACCTTCTGGGGCCTGAAGGCGGAGACCAGCGGACTTCAGGGAGATCAAAGTCACCCGCAACCAATTGACACTTAAAGCTCGAGTCGGCCGCAGCATGAAATGCCTGTGAGAGTAAACGATCAAAATTGTCATTGGCGTTGGGAGGGCGATAGACACAGCCAACGAGTAAAGAGAACTTAGTTTTTAGGGCAACCTGGAGCCAGCAGCTGCCTTCTACTGCGAAAAAATGCGGGAGGTCCAACGGCTGCTGCCCCCATTACGGTTATCTTGGCGATCATTTCGAATGCAATTGTGGCCTAGAAGAGAGTTCGGAGTCAGCTACTGAGGCTGATGCCCACGTCTCAGTTACTAAAACAATATCTGAACAATGAACGAACACCAGAGTCTGAAGCAAAGGCCTCTTATTAAGCAAGGATCTGGCATTTAAAGCAAAAAGTTTGAAGGGAAGGGCTGTTAGTTTCTGAGGAAGGTTGGTTACATCGTCCAGTTCTGGGTCGCCCACGGAGCAAACGGTCCGGATGCAACCATCCGGTTCTGCAAAAAATTTTGTGGCATCGAAAAATTCTGACGTGAATAAATAGGGGTAGGACTTGGGGGAGGGACTGACGGGCAGGTAAACTGGTAACCATTGTTAGCTAAGTTATTTTCAGCTGAAAATCCGCAGGGCAGATACCGTAACACATTCCCGTCGGAACGAAACTGAGGATCGGATGAGTTAACTGATCCAGTATAGACATAAGCATGAGGAATACATTGGTAGAACGGCTGTGGAGGAAACAGTCAGTCAGTCAGTGTATTTGAGGGAAATAGGCTTACGCCTTTGAACTCCCTATTTGTACGTAAAAAATCGATAAACAGGCAAAAATGTGAAGAAATTACAGCATTAAGTGAGTGCATACATTGATTCACATATGTCACTAGTCACATGGTTAAAAAGTCACATAGTCCGCTTGTTGCTGCAGCATATATCTGTCAAGGCGACATTTAAATGTCACCACAGATTGAGACATAACAACCGTCTCGGGCAGGTTATTCCACGGTTCCACGACACGGTTGGAGAAGAAATATTTTCTCACATTCAGTCTACCCTGTGGCACACGTAGCTTGAATGGATGTCCCCGGAGGTGAGTTGTAGTGGCGAGTTGGAAAAAGTCATCGCATCGAAGGGCACAATCCAAGCCGCGCACGATACGGAAAGTTTGTATCATGTCTCCGCGCAACTGCCTGTAACTCAGAGGATAGAGGTTAAGGTTAGTTAAGCGGATCTCGTATGGCAGTGCACTTTGACCTCTTACTAATTTTGTGGCTCGCCTCTGCACCCTTTCGAGCAGATCGTAATCCTGGTGCGTCCACGGTCTCCAGGCCTGAATTGCATATTCGAGATGGGGCCTTATAAACGTGCCGAAGACTTTGGTGAAGCAGTCTTCATCGAAAACTACGAATGCCCGCTTGATGGCACATAGCATTGACGTTGTGGCCTTGGCCGCCTTACAGCATTGTGTAGAAGGCTTTAGGCTGTCTGCAACCCAAACTCCGAGATCTTTCTGAGTTTCTGCTTCTCGGAGTGGCATTCCGTTCAGATAGTATTGCCGCGTACTAGGGGTCTGACTTTCGAGGCGCAGAATGGTGCATTTGTTCAAATTGAAGGACAAGAGCCATCTGCGGGACCACTCGTCCAACCGACAAAGATTTTCTTGGAAGTTGGTCTCATCGGCAGCATTCTGGATGACTTTCCAGATTTTTATGTCATCTGCAAACATGGCACAATCACAGTCCAACCCATCTACGCAATCATTGATGAACAAGAGAAAGAGAGTTGGTCAGAGCACCGAGCCTTGTGGGACCCCATTCTCTATGAATGTGCACCTTGATTGCTGTTGTTCTACGCAGACAATTTGGGAGCGGCCGACAAGGAAATTTTCGATCCATTTGAGAAGTTTGCCACCGATGCCCATAATTCTCAACTTGTGTAGGAGACGCTGGTGCGGAACACTGTCAAACGCCTTCCGAAAATCAATGTAGGCAACATGCACGGTGTGTTTTGCGTCCAGTGCTCGTGTCCAACTTTGCAATGTGTATAGCAAGTTCGTAACACATGATCTTCCCCTACGGAAACCATATCGTGTATTGGACAAGAGGTTGTGGGTTTCCAAGTAAGCCGTCAACTCCTTTTTGATGCTTTTCTCCATCACTTTGCAGCAGATTGATGTCAGACTGACGGGTCTGTAGTTTGTCGTCTGAGCACGACTACCCCTTTTGTAAAGGGGTGTAATGTGGGCCGTCTTCCAGTCTGTGGGAAGAATTCCAGCATCAAACGATTTTCGGCACAGAAAGGATAGTGGCTTGGCCAGCTGTTGGGAAAGCTCAAAGAGCAGCTTTGCTGGAATCTCGTCCGGACTGGGAGATTTACATTCCTTCAAGCTTTTCAGTTCTTCCAAGATCGCTTCTTCTCGAAACACAATATTTTCGATAGTGGGATCTCTCATGTTCTCAGAATTAGATGGGGTAAAGTCCGCTTCTCTTGTGAAAACGGATCGGAAAAATTGAGAAAAGTGCTCAGCCTTATTTGTACTGTCCGATATCTCCAAGCCGTCATCACCCCTTATAACAGGAATGGGATTCCTGTTACGTGTGCTTTTCCGCAAATAGCTGTAGAGCAATTTCGGATTTTTAACGGCTCGGTGGAGCAAATTACTCTCAAAATCCCGTCGCCTCCTGAAAATCAGGCTTTTCACCTTATTTCTTTGAATTTTGTATTCTGTAAACGCTGCATTATTGTTGTTCTCGCGAAATTTTTTCCATAACCTACCTTTCTTGTTGATCTCCCTTTTGAGTTCTCGTGTAAGCCACTGACGGCGGTTGGATGTCCTAGGCTTTGATAAGGGACAGTGGTTCTTAATTAGATGCAGTAAACGATCCTTGAATAAATTCTAGTCCTCGTTAACGTTTCCGGAGAAGAGAACATCCCAGTCTATTTGTGATGCCTCAGCTCTCATTTGGCGAAAGTCCCCTTTCTATATATTTGGCCTCGTATTGTCTTTTGTACACGGTTCAGAATACAGCAAGTACTCGCATAAAAGCACTGCATGATCACTTCGACCGAGCGGGGGTAGGTAGTACACCTCGTCTATACTGTCAGGATCTTTGGTAAAAACGAGGTCGAGACAACTGGCCTGTTGCCCTCCACGAGCTCTAGTTGGAAACAGGACATGCTGCGTGAGTAGAGCTTCTAGAGTTGTCTTTAGTAGATGGTAATCGAAGGTATTCATCGAGCATTTCGCATGCATATCGCTCCATTGAATGCATGCTGCATTAAAATCCCCCATGATAACAACGTCTGGTCGGCTGGCGATCTCTTTTATGCTTTTCAGTAGACAAGTATCTGGGTCGGGATCCGCCTGCGGGGGCCGGTAGATAGTTAGGACTTCGAGGGACTGAGATCCCCGCGCCTTTATAGTCAGCCAAATTGCCTCTGTGTCGTTATAAATCTTGTCGGTCCTCTCACACACTGCTAAGTTGCTCTTGACATACATGGCAACTCCTCCACCCCGGCGGCCTCTCTTGTCTCTCCTAAACAAATGGTATCCTGTTAATGCTACCTCGCAATCGCCAACGTCCTCTGACAGCCACGTTTCTGTTATTGCTATAACATCGGGAAGAGTATCGGCTACCTGTATTCTCAGTTCGTCAAGCTTGGAAAACAGACTCTGAGCATTGGTGTAAAAGAATTTTAGTTTGCAACATTCGACAGTGCTTCGTTCGGTTTGTCTCGGGTTTGCCAATATTATGTTGCTGCCGCCATCATGATGACTGGCTGGTTCCAAAACAGCATCGCGTTTCTCTGTATTACTCGTCCCCTGAAAATGGCCAAGTTGCTCTCTCCCGCTGCAAGTCTCCTCTTCAACTCCGTTACCAATTCGCGGCGTTTCAGACGTTCAGCTGGAGAACAGTCCGGCTGAAAAAAACTTCCTTGTGAAAGTTTCGGAGGCTGCTTTTCCTGGACAGAAGTAAGCTAGCTTCCTCTTTACTGTTCAAAACAATTTTCAGAGGTCGTGGCCGCACAGTTTCTGATTGTTCGCTCACCTTCTTTCCGATCCTGAAGGCTGCGCGAATGGTTATCTTTTCATTCGAATTAAGCATTTCGTTCAGAAGGTGTTGAAGCATATTAAGGTCAGCGGAGATCCTCTCCTTCGGGGTAGGAGCATCCGACTCCGATAGACCCTGGACGACTACGCAGTGCTGACGATCAAGGGGTTCATTTTTTCTGTTTCCGGTGGCCTTGTCAGCTGAAGGTCTCAGAAGATCCACCGGAGTCGTCTGGGGTTCTATACTCCCGTTGTGGCGCTTAACCTTTCCATCTTGCCATGAGCTTGTTTCCTCACTTCCAACTGAGGGTCCTATTGAACACGCGGAATGGCTGAGAGAAGTCGATGGCTCGCTTGGGTTGTCTCCCATAGAAACAAGAGAATCCGTTGCTATTTTCCCATCGTCCTGGGTATCGGCGCACTTGCACCGAGGTTTTCCACATGCTTTGTTCTTTGGCTGTTTTAGAGTTTTGCTCTTTCCCTTTTTCTTGCTAACTTAAGCGCTATTCACCGCGTTTTGCACACTATCGTTCGCTTGCACGAGTTCCCTTAAAGTAATCAACTCTTTTTCGAGTTTTTGGACTTTCAGCAGAATAAATGAGCATCCAGTGCATGGCTCGTCCTCGTAACTAACAGGTTTTGCTGTGATAACGCTTTTAGCACGCTTTGCGGGCCCCTGGTTGCAACTATAAAGAGAGCGAGCGCTAATCCTAGGTGGCAAGGCCTTCTCAATTGACTTTCCTTCATACATAGTGTCCTTTGTACTACGAATAATGTTTACTCCCTTGTTTATTTCAGTCGGCTGGGCGTGCGCCGATAGTCTAGCGGTCATGTCGCTGGTCACCGTACGACTGGACATGGGTTCAATTCCCCCTTGCGGCAAGTTTTTCCCACATTGTCCTGATGGTGTTTTGTCGACTCCCATTATTAATTCAAACGATACGCAAGGGATTCTAGGTATGTGCGAAGTATTTAAAGGTGTAGGAGAAGCTTTTTAACCAAGCCAAAAATATGAAGTAAATATAAAACGACTCAGCCGCTTCTGGATCTGGAGAACCCCGCGGTGCTGTTGGCAGAGAATTGATACGAAGGAGTATGGTCGTCCCAAAGAAAGTTCTGTCGGAGTTCTGAGTGGATCGTTCGAGGAATTGCTGATTACGCTTCAATTTCTTAATCCAAATGGGCCCGCAGAGCGTCCAGTAGGCAGGAATCCCGGAAAAAGCAAATCCCTCGGAGGTCGAAATTTCAAACCGAATTCGAAAGGCGCGCGTTAGGGGGTGGGGGACGCATTGTTTCCATTGGAGCAAGAGTTCTATTTAACGGCGCGAAAGTCGACATATTCGGCCTAACTGCCTCGATATGAGGACTGGGGGGGCAGTTGGGAACACGCTACGTTTTGAGTCGGGGTATTTGAGGCACTGTTAGTCGATTGTGAAAGAAAAGATTTTATAATGGTGCCCGATTTATCGGGTGTCCGAATGGCTGAGACAGCGATTGGATTTGCCTTTGACTTAGACACATACTAAGGCTTACTAGGGGTTGCTGGGGGAGTCGATAGAGACGTGTTTATAACAGGCGTGATGGTGTGTTTAAAGAGCTCAGCATTAAAAGTAGTCGAATTCCCTACGGAATTGACTATGCCGTGATGTGCAGATGCCGCAGGCGTGATGGTGTGTTTATAGAGCTCAGCATTAAAAGTAGTCGAATTCCCTAGGGAATTGACTATGCCGTGATGTGCAGATGCCGCAGATGGTGTTGTAGAGGACTTATGCAGACTGATAGTAGGTGTAATTATCTTGGTGCTGGTTTTTGCCGATTTTAATTTATTCAGTCTTCGCTGCAGGGGTGTGAGGTCTGGCGAAACGGAGCAGCGCCATTTACGGCAGAAGTATCTAGTTATCTCCCTACTCGACAAGGTAAAATCGACTTCTATCATAGAGAATAGGGTAACTAATATCGGTGCATTACGGCTAAGCGAGCGAAGTCGCTTAGCTTGTGCGACACTGAAACTCAAGCCACAACTTTGTAGGAACAAATGCGTTCCCTCCATAGCAGATAAGTGGCTAGGAATGTTTCGCAGTGCGAAATTATGCTTGCGTTTAGTTTTCTCCTCAGTTTCAGAACTTATTAGCTCAATAAGTTTAAAAGCTTGATCAATTACTTTTTCAGAAATGCTGTTTATGTCGCCATAAATCAACTGATCGACTATTTCGCCGGCTGATGGCCTGCTACGACTAGCAGAGGCGTATTTTTGGACGACTGAAGGGTCAAGAGGTTCTACATGTATTGAAGGGATGTGTGAGTTAATCAGATCTGCAGACGGCGAAGAACATACGCTGGCACCTGCTATGTCTTCAGTCACGATTTTAGCACCCGGAGACCGTGGGCAGGCCGCAAGCTTTCGCCTTTTAGCACGTGCTCTGCGGGGCATTGCAGACAAGAAAAGTTTTTCGTTACGGAAGAAGGATCAAAACTTTGCCAACGTACGGAAAGGCGCACTGAATACCAATTACTATTGTTATTTAACTACGAAAACAAGAAAGAGGTAGTAGGTAGGGGAGTCACTACAAAGGTTTTTTTACAAAATACGACTATTTTGCCAGACTGTCAAACAAAACTGGGAAAATTTTTACCTTATATTGAAAGGTGACTTTTAAAAGGACTCGAGTAAAAAAACAGGCATTAATTACTTGAGAATATCCAGATAAATGCAGAGCTTCACTTATCTTTGAAATTGAACTGCGCGCCTTGACCTTGACCTTGAACGTACCAGTAGAATAAAACTTGGGGAGGATGGTAGTTAGTTATACACATTGAACGCAGTGGGATTACACAACGTATCCTTACCGGCCCTACCTCAAGGTCATTTATTTGCGTGAGAAAATGTCCTGAAAAAAATGTGCAAGAGCATGCGCGTCAGCGCTACAAGTCCCACAAAACAAATTTTTATACTTTATGTGTTCCGTCGTGCCTGCCGCAGGTCACATTGGCCTAGTCGTTTATCTTCAAGTCCATCTCAGTGCAGCCGTGTAATTACGCCCTGGATCTCCGGCCAGCTCCCGTCAAGCATACTTTACCAGGCCATACTGTCTTAAGACACTCACACATTTCACGGGCCTTTCAGGTCATTCTAGCATACAAAAAGCGGGATCCGGGGCGATGTCACCAATATCATCGTACCTCGCCCCACACGAAACTCTATTACCACCAACATCAGATACAAAGCATCGTTTCAACCCTCTCTCCACTGCGACCACGCACTTGAATAACAATTTGACCCGGTTGGGCACTTGCTAATCAGTTCCATTCAGCCCAGAATACTAATATGAAGAACCTGATCTACACATAGCAGGGAAACATCACCTGTGTGAACTGCACCAGGATATTCAGTTAGCATATGATTCTACTTGGCCATATGAACATACAAGAAAACCTTCAGGAAAAACAATCCCTTCCAGTCCTCACTTGTGTCTGCCTCTATTCATCTGGACGCACAGACATAATTAGGTTGCACAGAGGTCCTTCAGGTCCGGGAATTTTTTGCAGTACACCACATGTTATGCATGCTTCATCTGAGCGACATAATTTTCTCTCGTCATTATGATGGGCAAAAAGGCATACACGAGAATTAATAATAATAATTTTTATTAATGACCCGTCGGGGTCCCATCAATGCAAGTTAAAAATAAATGTACATGCGAATTTTAGACGAGGTAGGCAGAATCTTTACAAAATGCAATTCATAGTTTCCGAATTAGTAGTTCGTTAAGAAAAAATTATTAGGGAGAGGTGAAAAAACTCCACTTAAAAATTTAAAAATGATTGGATTAATTTTACAGGAGAAAAAAACCCCTCGCTTAAAAATAATAACAGAAAAGTGCGGCCGGGACTGCCTGCATGTGGCGGTATATAACGGATTATAATCAGACACCGTCAGGGCAGAAATAAATGTCAGGCCTGAGGGGTACGTCTGCGGATCGGACAGAACTGGCATGCAAGTGGTATTGTATACGCGATTTAGAACTGACATCGTCAGGGCAGGACTGATACGCCGGATGAGACTATTCGCGTCAACGAGGCCAGACGAGAGGAACCCAGACGCGATCGACCACAGTACGCATCGAGCCCAGCCGAGGAGTGAGGAAGGGAGGTACGACCAAACTACTAGTAGACGGCGAATACGGAGGGTTCCACCGCGAGCGTCGACAGACTGCATGAAGTCGAAATGCGGGAGATGACATCAAGAACCATGAAAATCGTCGCTGTGTATGGCATTGTATAACGGATTTCATGAAGGAGTAAGTAGACGGGTCAGGCAGGACTGGACTGTATGTGGCCTTTAGTAAAAAGTTCAAAACGGGTATCATCGAGGCAGAATTCATCTGCCTGATGAGGCCATTCATGTCCAGATGGCGAATTGAAAACCACTCTCGGGGCGATAGGAACCCAGATGCGATCGGTTACATTCAGCCGAGTCCATCCGAGGAGGGGGCAGGGGAGATGCGACCGGACTACTAGTATATAGCGAATACAGAAGGCTTCGCCAAGAGCGTCAATGGAGCGCATTCTGTGAGGGCACGATGCGTGAGCTGAAAAATTGGAAAAATTAGCATTTCTGGTGAGGGATCTTAGGAAGCGATACGTCCCACAAAAGAAGGACATCTTGTGTAGTGAGAAGTGTTTTTTGAAGTCTAGCTACGCGACATGTTGGCCAGCACGCAAGTGGTGGATGAAGGCGACGACCTCCCATTACGTCGGTCACTGTGCCAAATTTCACTGTCAGACGACCTGACTCAGGCTGACAAAAGTAAGAAAAAAGACAGGCCGATCAAAATTAGAATACATCCTTGAGGTAATCCAATATTCTGAAACAGCATTACAGTGGCAGTTCCTGTGTACCACCGACAATCTGCTTCTCACCCAACACGTAATGTTTCCATCAAGAGTTCGATAGGGCCAACAAATGAACTGACTCGATCATGTGTTCACGAAGTCGTCGGATAACATCGACGTTGTGAATTGCCTCGTCCACTGGGTCAGAGTAACCATACAGTTCTCATGTGTGAATACACCTTATTCTCCCTACCTGCACCAACGCTCGATCTCCGACCCAATATTTGGCGCGGCGATTTCGAAGAGATGAAAAAGCTCTTCGTCCTATCGACTGGGCATCCACACTCTCAGGCTAAATCGAAGAGACAAAGTGTCATTTCAAAGAGATAGTTCGCAGCCTCATCTCCAGCCACTGTCCACTCAAGCGCAGAAGACTGACGAATAGGCCCCTGTGGTTGACTCCGTCCTTAAAGGAGGAAGTTAATAAGAAGGGGAAACTACGGAAAAGATCCCTCATTGACCGGACGAAATGATCGG